ACAGATGATGCTTTTTCAGCATCATCTCTATTTCTCTCCCTCTCTCTATTTATGTCAGGGGTTTTGTGTTGCCCTGATTTGGTGGGTTATGGAGACAATTCTGGTTCTGCTGTTTATTGATAGAATGGTCAATGGGTGTCTTGTACAACATTCCGAACCCAAAACTACCACCAATTTGATCCAAAACATGATGCCTTGATCACTGGACCAACTTATTGAATGACCCATGATGGTGCAATTTTCGTGGGTGTTTGGCCTTTAATATGTTCACCCTTGGTCCTGCTGACCTCTCCGGCTGACACAAACACAGGTTCACATAGATCTCTCTTTATTGCCATGGCGGTTCCGTATATATAGCGACGTCTTGCTGACATCACTGCCATCATTTTCACTAATTTTATAAATATACATAATTAGAATATGGAAAACTGACGGTACATAGTTGACAGTTTAAGACAAATAATAAAAAACCATTGAAAAATAAAGCCTCTTATAAGTACTAACGTCATCGACATATCTAAAAAGCTAAAAAGGACGATTTCAATAATGTAAAACATGAATAAAATCATTTAAAGGATAAAATCATATCACTAAGATGCAAATACATGTAATAACAAGACAAGTTTATAAAATGAAAATGACAAACACCGTCATGCTCATTTAGAGAGAGAGAGAGAGAGAGAGAGAGAGAGAGAGAGAGAGAGAGAGAGAGAGAGAGGAGAAGAGTTATAATTTTCATGTGAAACTGCTGCTCTACAAGACTGTTTAAAAATCCTGGAAAAGGCAAGGAAGACTGCACTAAGTAGCTTATCAAAACTACACATATATTAATAATTAAAAAATATTCATTTCCTACTTCTTAATGTTAATAATAATGTTAATAATGCTAAAGGTAATACCAGTAATTTAGTCCCTGTGGGTTTTTAGCAGAGCCAATGACCTTCGTTGTTCATGTTCATATAAGTATCTCATCTCATCAGGTCAGTCTTCTGCAACAGCATCCGCAACAGGCCTTAGCTTTGCCTGACGGAGAGGCTGGTGCTGGCTCTGAAACTGTTGTTGATGTTGGACCTAAAGCCGATGGTTCAGGTGTAGAAATTAATGTTAATGCAACACCCTTTCTTCCAGATTTCTCTTGGTGCTCCAGTTGCAAGATTTTCCCTTTTCTTACAGCCTAAAGAGATATTGCAATCGAGTTTTATCTGTGAAACCTTTTTAGTTTTGTTAACAGGGACTATCTTTAGGTTTTGGGACAGTCAATGACCACATGTATGGATGACAAAAAGTCAGAATCCATTTAGATTCTTTGAAAATCAACTGAGTAAATAAATGTGATGTGCCTGCATAATATTTCCCATGAATATTATACAATAATAAACTATACATAATCACTTAATAAGCTGTACTTCTTATATAAATGTAGGTGACCACAATTCACGGATACCGCATAATCACACTGCCAACGTGAGGTTTCCACAAACATTGTGTGTTTGTGTTTAGGGCTTCAATTCTCCTTCATGATGCTGCAGCGCGTTTACTCTGTATCATAATAATCTGCTGCCTCTTACTCGCTTGTCTGGAGCTGGAATAAAAGGCCATTTGTAAAACGTACTAATTGGCACTGACATGGAGCATTTATTTGGCATACATGTAAATGTCCTCACATACAAGTATAATGAGTTGCAAATAATGATCTGTGTATCGCAGTGTTAAGAATTATGTGTTATATAAGAGCATTGTAACTAGACAGGGGAGACTCAACTCTAAAGTGATATTTGATGTTATATAGTGAACAGAAAATGCTTACAGATAGTGACATAGCCATGGCCAGTTGCAGTTCTTCTTCCTCCTCCAACCAGAAGCATGTTTTCCTCTCTCCTTCAGCCTCCTCCTTCTCAAGGCGGAGCTTTTTCCCATCAAGACCTTCAAGTTCCTCATGGCAGTAAGCTTCCTCCTTCCCCGGACGCCCCTCTGCCTCCTCCTGCCAGCGCCCTCCGCTCCGGGGACGTCGCCGGCCCCAGCGGGCTCTCGCGCGAGTAAGGCGGCGACCTGACGCCTGTACTCCTTGTTCTCGGCCTCCTGTGCGGACATGTGGAGGGCGAGGGAGAGCAGGTCGTCGTCGTCCATGCGGAGACCCTTCTTGAGGTCGTCTTCGTCGTCTTCGTCGTCCCTGATCTCCTGGGAAGGACCTCTTTCCATTAGCCAAGGTTAATTTCACATGCACTAACCAACCCACGCACATGAGCACACACACGAACACACATACACACACGCACGCACGCACACATACATGCACACACACGCACAAACACGCATATACATACACGCACAAATCATACATTAAAAAAACAGAAAATCACGTACCGCTTCGAGCAGGTCGAGCAGCGCGAAGTTAGGCTTCAGCGTCCAGAACTGGTCGCGGTCCTGCCGGCAAGAAGGGCACTGGAACACACTCTTGCGGTTCTCCGTCCCTTGAAGGAAAGATTTTCATTGCCTTTCCATTTACTCATTAAGCCTTCTCTAAATGTATCTATTCATTTCACTTATTTATCTACATTTTTCTAATATATCATTTCTAAGACATTCTTATCTATTCTATCTACGTATGTATCTATTTATTCATCTACTTATTCATTTATTCATTCATTTAAACGTTATTTCACATACAAACACACATATATGTATATTTTACCCTGTCACCCGTTGTATCTTCTCTTACAGCAACATATTAATTATTGCAGAAATAAAACAAACAAAAAAACGAGGCACCAAGACACTGAAAACAAAGACACAACGCAACGCCAAACAAAAAAATAATAAATAAATAAATAAATAAAAAAAAACAAAGAAGCACAAACCAGGAAAAACCAGACATTAAGCCAAACACAGATTTCACAGAAAGACAAACAACAGAAACCTTACTAAGGCATTCCTCGCAGAAGGTGTGGCCGCAGCTGGAGAAGATAAGCGGACGACGATCGTGCGCGTTGTAGGTCGACCTGCAGACTGCACAGGTTAGCCCTGAGGGAGCCTGCAAAACACGGTGCCCTGTATATTAGCCCACAGTTTCTGACTGGTCTCATTTCGCTCTGTTAATTAACTGTTTCTCTTTCTATACTTTACATACTTCCATATTCATAATACACACACACGCACACACATACACACTCAATATATATATATATATATATATATATATATATATATATATATATATATATATATATATATGAGCTACTGGACAGAAAGTGGTTGTGACCGATATAATATCATTATCCTTTCGACGACCTGATAACTGCTGCGCAATAAGTTATGGCCCTGCAATACATCCCCACGAGCGGCTGGACCATCGATTATTATCAAGGGGGCGGGGGGGGGGAGGTGCCCAAGAACGTGCGTCACCAAGCAAACGTCGCAACTGAACCGGCTGGGATAATGTGTATAATAATCTATAGCGCTGCCAGTCTGGAAACATGACGCGGTTCGCCTATTAACGCGGTAGACTGGCTGGGCGCCACAGGCAGGTCAATCTGTCAGGGGAACTGCAGCCGAAAGGAGTCTCCGCAAGACGAGGCCTCTGGGGGTGATCTTCGTGCGTTCCCAAAAGGTGGGAAGCTACGGACGTGCCCGACCTCGGCTCATCCTCAATGCGACCGCGCCGTATTAAGGATGAGCCCAAAGGGGCGAGGCCCTTGAGGCGGAGTCGACGATCGTTGATGGCCCTTGCCTCTGTCGGGTGGAGCTCGCATGCAGTTATCAGAGCGCCTGAAGTCGCCTCATATTTCGTCTGATTTTGTGCGTTTCAGGCGAGGGTCTTTAATACATGCCGTGAACTTCATCCTTTCAGATCTCCATTAATGAAAAAAAAACATTCATCTTAGCTAAAGACTAGAGAGTGGTTGACAGCGGAAGCACACACGAGAAGGCTAATTCTCAGCCATTACTACATAATGGAGGGATTTATAGTGACGTGACTTTAGTTGTCATGAGCTTGTGAAAAGCATTTCCCTATATGGCTCGATGCAGGACAAGATCGAAATGGTCTTTAAGGTCTTTTATAGGATTATTATGCAGTAATGAAGGCAAGCAGGTGGAAGGCGGTCGGATTTGTAGCAACAGTTTTGATGTTTCGCGGGACATTATCTTATCTACGCCATCGAATGAACTGGTAAAGGTTTGTCAAACTATAATTTCAGGCATTAATCAGTTCTAATGGCTTTCGGTTTCTATCACAAACATTTTTTTTTATGTCAGTTTTTTTTATTATTATTAAATAGCTATTTGAAGTTAGAAAATTTTTATAAGCTAAAAAGGAAAAGAAACACATGGGTATGTGCCGTCGAGGGCTCAGGACAGTTACTGTTGTCGAACTGGTTTCATTCTGTTCTGAAGCACTGAAAAACGTATTTTTGTTGTATTTCTTCCTATTATGAGAAAAAAAAAATAAGCAAAAGTTAAAACGATAGAATAAGTGAATTCTTCAAATTTTATTTTCGATCAGCTAATGCCCCCAAAAAGATTAAACGAGATATTTGCATATCGTTCACAGATTTCTCCCATTCGCCATTTTTTTATTTATTTCCAAAGAAAAAAAATACGTACAACGATACTATTGCTACCTTTTAAACCTACAAAGATGCAAACCATATGGAAGTTGCTATAAATGTTTCTAAATGAACATTACCTGGTTTTCAGAGCTGTTCTCATAATGCTGATCTGATGAATAAACATTTCCCTATGTATTGTACATGCAGTACATGTGCCTGCTTGATTCTTTAATTGTATTTGTATATATATTATATATATATATATATACCGTATACCTATAAAACCAACACAAAGAAAAGGACAAGAGGACAGAATTAGACGAAAAAACAAACACATAAAACGCCGCCTTGCCTCGTGCACACGCGCGCCTGAGTCCTGGCGGAGGCCTCCTTGACCCAAGACGTCGCGAATGCTCTCTTGCAGGTCTCGCGAAGTCCCTGACGGCAGGCTATCTAGCGCTGTCAGCAGTCTTATCAGCAGCTCGAGGGTTTTGTTCAATTTTTCTTGGCTCTGCAAAACAACGAAGGTAGATTTAGCGACTGGAGATGAATTCGCAGCTATTATTTAAAGAAAAATTGAAAGGAAAATGGTCTGCAGCACAAGGTAGTGAAGGAGGAAGGGGAAGAGGAGGAACGGAGGAGGAGGAGGAGGAGATGTGGAGGAGGAAAAAGTGGGAGAGGAGGAGCTGGAAAATCAGAAAACGAAGAAAACAAAAAGAAGGAGGAGGCGAGAGAACAAAATACAAATATACGTAAAAAGAAAACAGGGAAAAGTATATTCCTTTTACCTATGTCCTGCGTAAACTTTCTTTTTGACAATAATTAATATAAATCATTATTGTCTCACCTCAACAAGGGCATTGATGGTCTCTGAAGTCCGCTCTTGTTCCTTCCGAAGGGCGCACATGTCCTGTTAAGTGAAGTACATTCTGTTATATAAACTCAATCGCACAATTACTGACATGTATATTCATGTATATGTATGTGTGTGTGTGTGTGTGATATGTATTACATGCCCTCTCTTTCTCTCTCCTCATCTCTCTCGTTCTCTTTCCCCCTCTCCATTCCCCTTTCTCTCTCTCTCTCTCTCTCTCTCTCTTTAACTCTCCCTCTTTTCTACTATCTCTCTCATTCTCATTCTCTTTCTCAATTCACTCATTCACTCACTCAATGACTCCTCCCCCTTCCTCCCTCCTTTTCTTTCCCAGCTTCTCCCTCTTGGGTTATTCATTTACAATAACCTTATGGTAACATCTATACCCACATGGCTCAGCTATTTGACTGACTTTATCACTTCTTCCTATTCATTCCTCGCTAACACTTTTTAGAGGGAAACACTTTAAACCTCGGCTCTACCCATTGCCCCCTTCCCACTACCTCCCATTGCTCTATACACGTCATCTCAGTCTCTCCTCTCTACTCCTTCCGCTTCCTTCTCCGTGTAAAGATAACCTCCACTATCTCAATCATAAATCAGATCTCTACCTATTACTTCCCTCCTATACAAAAACTCACTATACCATCTACTTAGCCTTACACTTCTCGCGGTCATCGCTACCTTATCGAAATATACCTGCGTACTTAATAGCAGATGTATAACTAACAATGTTTACCCTCAACTCACCTTCCTTCCTCTATATATACATAATACACCATTCACCATCTTACTCTAATAACACTCACTTCCCTACTCTTGACACTAAATGATTATCCCCTTATTCCCACTTTTTAGCGTATGATTTCACGCCGCGTACTCGCTCCACATTTTATCTTGTGCTAATATACTCATGTGTGTTAAGTCACATACAAATATGCTTAATTCCTTTTTTTCCCCTCAATATACAATAAGAACGGGCAAAAGACGCAATAAAGCCATATCAATAACGCCCTATACTCTTCACACCATCACCACGACCCAACAAATAAGAACCGTTACTCCCTTCCACAGTGCCCATGCCTTACTAAACATTCAAACCACTTAAAATCAAGTCTCTAACATAACAACAAACAAACTAACAATTACGCCCCATTATCACGCTAGATATTCCCACTTAACAGGTGCAACACATATCTCCATATAATCTAACAATACGCCTGCTTTGTTCTTATTTTGACAAATTTCTACTCTGCGTCTCTCTCATATGGTCCTTCCTTCACCTCTATCATATCTAATATATATACATTCACCACTTACATACTCTATGCTATACTATTCACCCTCTGCTCTTATCATTACTGCCTCTGTATTCTATGTATACTCTCATAAATACCATATGCACATCTCACTAATCACGTCTCCATTTCCCTCACTCAATCATGTATGTGTTGACAACATTCATATTTAAACCAATCCCTTCTTTCCCTATTCTACCTACTTTGCACCTCACACCATCTCTCTAAGTATTCCCTATTCGCTCATACTTTTACTTATAATCTCGGACACTCACTTCACTACCTCCATCCTTGACATCACTCCTATCTTTACGCGTATACTCGCCTGTGTTCCATCCGTCTGCTGCGTACTATTCTCTCTCGGGCACCTCACTATTCGTCATATGTACATGCGTTATCTTGCTCTCTCTCAATCCACCTGTACTTATATGTAATCTTCTGCGTATGTATAATATATATGCTCACATTTATTTCCTACATATTCACTGAACTACGTTACCTCCCCGTATCCTCTGTATTCGACGAGCACGAAGTGATTTGCCTGTGGCTACACGACTCGCGCCACTCCTGTTTTTTGAGAAACCTCTCTTTCCGCCGTAACACTCTCCTCGTGCAAAAAGGAGACATCACACCTTTTCCTCCATAAAGACTATCACTATGTTTGCACAGGCGGAATAGCAGTGTTCTACCGGAATCTTGCGTGCTGCCGCACAAGGTGCGATTTCTGTTCGGATGTTCAACTAACCGAAAAAATATTCAATAAATTTGTTTTCACGCTTGTATCGCACTTCTTCTCTCCGAATTTGTATGGAAAAGAAAGAGAAAAAAAATGAAAGAATATGATTGAAAAAAGAATCAATTCATTAACCAAAAACTAATACACTTATATTCAAGGTCCTTAAGCTTTCATTAGCTACGTCTACACTCAATAACTCTTCTAATCAACATTATACTCACCTAATACCATCTCACATCATTCAATACATCATCATTCAATATCTCACACTAAACACTTATATACTCATTTAAACACATCCATTTACACGGTACCAACAATATATCTCCGTTCATATCTATTTTGTCCTATGTGCAACATCTTAGGAGAAAATACTCGGGTCGCAATTCTGAAGAATATATCTTACGGTTACTGGCTCTCTCAGTTCGCCTCACATCTCGCTGCTCTTTATGTGTTCGGCAGGGTCTTGCTCTCACGAATCTTTCGAGCGACATTCTATTGGTGAGCCAGTAAGGGCAGAACTCAGTTATCGATTTAGCGAGGCAGACAGTCACGTTCTTTTGAATCCACACTGACACTGTGCTAGCACAACCTCTTCGGTTCAGCTGTTCTATCAGCATCACTCGAGTTGTGGTGATCCGCATCAGCAAGAAGGTTTCGGGCAAGTGGGAGGTTATCATAAGTATACACAGGTGTTGTATCGGCGACTACTCAATAAGCTTGAGATACAAGGAGTATGTCTGTGTTAATAAGTAGCGAGAATATTAAGGAATGACCTCAGATACTTTTCTTTAAGGGACAGGTAGACATTAGGGGAACAACAATATTATAGACACACAAAAGGAAACTGATTGCATATTCCTATAATGCCGTTATATTATAAAATCTCTTAATTGTGACCACTCACAATGTTCTATTTACTGTTTCTTTTTTTTATTTTTTTATCTTATTTTTTTTTTTTTTATTATGTTGTAAGTTAAGCTTTCTATGGAATACACTGTCGCATCACGACATTACAGGTGATATATTCTCGAGTTTACAACTATCGACTCACTCCCCGTCTCTTGCACTCTTTACCTACTCTCATCATCCATCAAACGCAACACCATCCTCTTCTACTCCTTACGGCTTCTATGTTTATATCCGACCATCACACTACCTAACATTCACTTTGAAATTTCACAGCAGTTCTCCCTCTGTTTACATTTCCTCCTCTATCGTCATCATCGTTATTCATTATAATCAGTCATTGTCCCTATTATACATTCTCTCTATATTTATACCAATCACCAGCCTCATTTATCCATCCGAGAGAGCTTCTCTACTGCTACTGATCAGTTACACTCACACTCAAATTCACTCCATAACCACGGTCATCATCACAATCATCACAATCACATCATCAATCCAGATCCATCATCCACATAGTTTTTTTCTCACTATACCAATATCATTATAATATCACTGAACCATCTGTATCATCATCATCATCATTATATCCATTACAACCACCGCCTGCCGAGAGCCAGTCAAGTTAGACTTCACATTCAGCCATCTAACATCAATATTCACCACGGAGAACGATAGCAGAAGTGTGAGTACAGTAGTATTTATTTGAGTCTATGCTGGCTCATGGTCGGAGAGGACGCGGCATAGCAGAGGCACTGAAGTACGGTTAGAGTCTTAGGAGGTTACGAGGAGGGGACAACGGTTTGAGATAAAAGATGGAGAGCGAAGAATGCACTGATGGAAAGAGAGAGAGGAGCGGAGCACAGGACTCGATGCATGATCGATTGGTGCATATCTATTGAATTGAAGTACTGAGCGAGTAACTTATGTGCTGATATAACTCATGGGCTATAACGAATGTTTTTGGTTCAGCCATTGCCAGAAAATATTCGAGGGCGAGTATCGAGAGAAAGCTTCTGTTACTTTCATAAGCATATTAGGAGTGTAGATATCCTGACGAATCTCATTCTATAAAGTTCATTTATGCAAACTCTACTGGCTTAATGCTACACCTCACCAAACCCGTGCACTACTACTCTACATTCAAACCATTCTCCTCACATTAGCTTCGCCTTGTGCGTGTCGCTTTACAGCATCTTATGAAAATATTTATATTTCTTTTAGGTCATTCGTACTGCCCGACACCTCAGCAGTGCTTCCCTATTGTTCCTAATCAAATAAAAGGGTTTCAATTGGTACGATTGAGTTTACTATGCCAAAGTGTTAGGTATGTGAAACGGAGGTTTTGAGAATACACAGTGAGCTGATGAATAACCTACTCATGCAGAGGACAAAGTGTAGAAAATAAAGATGGTACGATAATGCATTGTGGGGTAATGACGGCCCCGGACGGGACACGCTTTCGCAGTAGCACCAAATGCTGACTGTTTCCGCGTGCCTGCTCGTTCTTATTCTGACTTGAGTTTGTACACTCAATGTGAGTAATAATGCCAAGGGCAGTGTTTCTGAAACGCAGCAGTGTCAAATCGGGTGCCGTACATTAATGGAAAGGGTAGGGATAGAGCGGGCCCTACTTCTCGGAATTGGTTATCTACCTTATGTCCATCCTCTGATATCAGCATTTGCCCCTTACTCTTTCAAGTTGCTGCATCGGGGATAATATTACTCTACTGGTGCTCGCTCCGTAGTTTGGGTAGAAAGCCGGTGGGTGTCGATGGCCGAGTAAGTGAAGTAGTTTAACTAAGGTGCTGACGAACTGGAGTACTATGAAGAGTTGGTGTAGGTTAAACTTGTCGCAGTTTCTTTTTGTCTTTATTCTGGGTAACTGGGTACAGAGGCAAGGCAGGTGCCCAGGGAGGAGCGCGTCCTGCAAGCCCGACGAGGGCGAGCGGTCTAAGAGTATGGCACAGGATGCCATGGACGAAGTCGTTTTTAAACAATAAATGGAAAACATGAAAGAATTTGGATGAACATAAATTCAGAAACATTGTTCACATGACCGGTTTCGTGAGAGGAACAAGGGTATATGGTTG